CGGTTCAGCAGCAAGCAGTACCTGTCCAGCAACCAGTGCAGCCACAAGCCGCTCCAGTCCCACAGCAAGCAGCTCCTATCCAGCAACAAGCAGCTCCCGTCCCACAGCAAGCAGCTCCAGTCCAACCACAAACCGCTCCTCTCCCACAGCAAGCAGCGAAAGTGCAGCAGCCAGTTCAGCCACAAGCAGCTCCGGTCCCACAACAAGCACCACCTGTCCAGCCACAAGCAGCTCCAGTCCAACAACAGGCAGCCCCGGTGCAGCAGGCAGCTCCAGTGAAACCAGCAGTCCCGGTCCAACAGGCCCAGCCTGTTGTCCAGACCCCTCCACCAGTTCAACAGACAGCTCAACCAGTTCAACAAGTCAAGCCAGTTGCTCAGCCAGTTGCTCAAGCAGCTCAACAACCTGCTCCAGCTAAGCCTGTAGCTCAGAAGCCTGCTGCAGCCCAACCTATTCCGGCCCAAGCTGCCCCAGTCCAGCCTGCAGCTCAGCAACCGAAGCCAGTGGTCCAACCTGCTCCAGTTTCGGCTCAACCTGTTCCAGCCCAGCCTATTCCAGCTCAGCCTGTCCCCGTTCAACCTGCAGCTCAGCAACCTGCTCCACAGGCTCAACAACCCGTCCCAGCTAAGCCTGTTCAACCTGTCCAAGCTCAGCCTGTCCCTGCCCAACCTGTAGCTCAGCAACCAGCTCCACAGGCTCAGCACGCTGCACCTGGAAAGCCTGTCCCAGTTCAACCTGTTCCAGTCCAGCAGCCTAAACCAGTTCAGCAAGCTCCACCCACTCCTGCACAGCCACCGAAACCTGTTGTCCAAACCCCTCCAGTCCAAGTTCAACAGCAGGCTCAACCGGTTCAAGCCGCTCAGACCCCACCAGCTCAGCCCCAACAGCCAAAACCTGTTGCCCAAGCTCAACCAGCTGCGGCTCAACCTGGTCAAGCCACTCAGGCTCCTCCAGTTCAGGCCCAACAGCCAAAACCTGTTGTTCAAGCTCAATCAGTCCAAGCTCAACCTGCACAACAAAAACCATCAGCTCAACCAGAGCAACAACCACCAAAACCAGTTGTCAAACAGCAAGCAGCTCCAGTTCAGCAACCACCAAAGCCAGTTGTCCAAAAACAAGCAGCTCCGCCGGTTCAGCAAGCAACTCCACCAGTTCAACAAGCAGCTCCACCAAAACCCGCCCAGCCTGTCCCAGTATCTGCACCCCAACCAGTCAAACCTGTGGAACCAGTCCAGCAACAGGTATATCTGGTCACCTGGTCACTAACAGAAATTCAAGTTTTCCAGAAACCTCCTGTCCAACAAGCTCCGCCCACTCCTAAACCGGTTACCACTACCACTTCAGCTCCAAGGACAACCAGACACCAGCCTGCTCAGCCTGCTCAAGGGGATAAGAAGCAGAGGGCGAAACGAGAGGATTCCCATACGACTCAAGCATCTCAGATTGATAAGAATCCTGATGAGTAAGTGCAAAAAAAAAAGAAAAAAAGATTTGACCCCAATGGGGGGTTGAACCCGAAAATTGGGAGACAACAGCGCTAACCGCTGCGCCACGGGGGCAAGAGTGGAAAAGAGGGGGAGGGGGCGTAGACAATAATACGGGGGGGGGGTTCTTTCCCTTCTCGAGGGCCATCAGCCACGTTGGAAAACTAGGCTATCGAGTGCCGACCAACATTATGAATGGGGCGCAGTTGGACTTCCCCAACAAAAAAATAATTTCCAGGCCCTCTTCCATTGCCTCGGATCTCCGTGGCCTCTCCACCAACGTCATTTTCTTCGCCTCATGTGTGTTCTTCGTGCTCCTCGGCGCCTGTTTATTGAGATGCATCCGTCGTGATCCATCGGATGACAAACTCAAAATGTTATGACTCTTTTGTGGTTTTCAATACCTGCTGGATCTGCTTTGCAATTAGTTTTTTTTTTATTTCTCTACTTTGGATTTTTTTCTTAATTAATTTTTTCTAATTAATAATTTTTCCAAATTTATATTCCCGTATTTTTAGTGTGTCAAATCTTCCTTCTCATTTTTTGAAACAGTTTTTACTCGAATATTGGACAAATAAAACGTGTCTGGTTATTCTGATTCAGTTCTTCGGATTACCCCGCGGCGAGTGACATGTCTATGCCCTAGCCCCGCATTTTCTAATGTTGCCGCGTGGCGTAGTGGCTAGTCACTTTGTTTTTGAATTTTATATCGCGGGTTCGACCCCCGGCGTGTGGAAAATCTTTTTTTCTTTTTTTTGTAAGTCAGTGAAATGAGAGTCTTACAATACCGACTTCTTTGTGGCGAGACCCACTCTCGGAAGTGGGCAACGGAAACTACGGAGTTTTCGGCTTTTCCGAAATTTTTTTTCCGGAGATTTCATCGGGAAAATTTTCCGAAAACATTAATTTATCGAAAAATGTTCCGAAAAAAAAGTCTAAAAAGTTTTCAGGAACTGTTTTTTTTTTCAGAAAATATTCGGATCGAAAAAATTTCCGGAAAAAAATCGGAAAAAATTACAAAAATATCTGGTAACATTTTATGTAAAAGCAATTGCTGGCCGAAGATCCGACAACTTGACGGCCCCGATATCTCATCACGAAAACTACCGTATAAATTTAATTGCTACCGTAAGATTTATCGAATTTCATCAATTTCAATCGATTTCCAACGAATATTTATTTTTTTTCTGAGGAAGAGCTAGAAAAATCGCTGAAAATCGATAAATCTTACGGTAGCACTAAAATTTCTACGGTAGTTTTCGTGGTGAGATATCGGGGTCGTCAAGTTGTCGGATCTTCGGCCAGCACTTTTTTTAAATACTGATCGCCATAATAAATGTAGCCTCACTAATGCGATTTGGGCTGGAAAATTCCGAGAAATTTCCCGAAAAAAAAAAACGATAATTTTTCAAATTTGAACCGAAATGGTGGTCAAATTATTTTCTGTTTTGCAGCAAAGTTCGAGATTTCCGGATTTTCCAGAATTTTTCGACGGTAAATTTTTTTTGGAAAACTAATTTTCCGAAAAAATATTCTTGCAGAAAAATTCGAAATATTTGTTTTCCAAAAAAAATTTCAAAAAAAAATTTTTTTTTTCGAATTTTTTTTTAGAATTTTGGCCTCCAAAAACTCAAATATAGTAGTAACTCTTAACCATACATACCCTGCCCTTGACTGACGAAAGACCTTGATAAAAAGTCCACACTCTCTCTGCACAAATTCAATCCCCCCCCCCCCCTCACTGATAACAGCAACTTCCAACATGTGCTCGCTCGAGTATATAAAAACTCTCTCGGAGAGGGAGTTTCTCTTATCACTTTTCGAATTCATTAGGCATCAATGAAATTTCTAGTCTATTCACTTTTAGCATTATTAGGCACCATTTGCCACGTGGAGGCCAGTAAATGTACGGATTGTATTGCCAGTGGAAAGCAGTGAGTTTTTTGGGCAAATACTCAAGTGCTATGAAGTGATCAAGTGCTATTTGCCAATTTTCAAAAAATTTGGCTCTTCTGCTATTGTCTCATATGCTATACCTCATCTGCTATATAGCATATGAGACAATAGCACAAAAGCCAAAATTTTTTTTGCTATGGCTCATGTGCTATTTTTGGCCGTTTTTCTTGGCTCTTGTGCTATGATTTTGGATCAATTGCTATTAGTCCTGTCTCATGAGCTATTCAATAGCACCAGAGCCAAGAAAAACGGAAAAAAACGCCGCTTGATCCATAGCACAAGAGATATAGCACTTGATCACTTCATAGCACTTGAGTACCTATCAAAAAAAATTGTCGACTTCTCATGGGCTGCCAAAATAGCACTTGGAAAAAAGCACAAGTAGCACGAACGGCCATAATAGCACTTGATCCATAGCACAAGAGCAAAATTTATGAAAATCGGTAATAGCACTTGATCACTTCATAGCACTTGAGTATCTACCAAAACTTTGTCATTCCAGCTGGTGCGTTACAGTCAATGAATGCGGATTCTCGCCATGTGTAACCTCGATATCGGTGAGTGTTACCTTAAAAGCGCATGAAAGTGTTTATCTCAACTGCTATTCCTCAACTGCTATGGGGGTGATCAACTGCTATTTTGTAACTGCTAGTGTCTCAACTGCTATTTTCGCCACGTTTGACGTCTCAACTGCTATGGCTATCGTCTCAACTGCTATTACTTTAGCAGTTGATCCATAGCAGAAGAGCCAAGTATAGCAGTTGAGACACTAGCAATTGAGCAGGTAGCAGAAGATCACTCATAGCAGTTAAGTATCTAGCCTATAATCTAGCCCGCAAGTCCGGCCCAAAAGATCCGATTTGTCTAAAAAATTTTATTTTCTGAAAAAAACTTTTTTTTTTGGCGAAATCATTGTGACAAGCAGAAAATGAGCAATTTTTACAAAATGACCAAACAATTTTTTTTTGGATTTTGAAAAAAAAATTCAATTTTCGCGGTAACCGTCGGGCCCCCAACTAAGAAAAACCATGATTTCTTCCCGGAAAAACCAAAAAATCATTCCATCCACACCAGAATACACTATTTAGTGAACCGATATTCCGCTTATCAAACACTTTTTGATCATCAATAATTACTTTTTCTTGTTTCCAGAAAGCACTAAACTGCCCGGAACTACCTGATAAAGCACATGCTTATGATGACGCTTTCGTCAGGTCAAAGATTCTTGTGACGACGGCGGCTGCCTTCAATAATAATCCACAGAAATGTTTCAAGTAAGGGGGGTTTGGATGGGGAAAATGGAAAATATCGCGAAAAACTTTTTTCTCGAAAAATTCCGTGAAAAAAATTTGGAAAAATCGGAAATTCCGAAATTCAAAACAGAAATTATTTTGTCCATTTTCCCGGTTTTTCAACTTTTCGTAATTTTTCCGGATAAAGGAAAATTTTTCCCGAAAAACAGTTTCTGGAAAATTTCGGAGAAATCCGGAAAAATCGGAATTTTCGTTTCCCGATTCCGAAAAAGCCTGAAAAGTTCTGAAAAAAAATCGGAAAGATTTTTTTTTCGAATAATTTTCCCGGAAAACGGAAATTCCGATTTAAAAAAAAACTTTCCGTGAAATAGTTTGAAAAAATCGGAAATTCCTGAATAAACAGAATTCGACAACTTTCCCGAAATTCATTTTTTTCCGGAAAATTTTCCTGGATTTTTTTGTCGGATAAAAAATTCTGGAAAATTTCCGAGAAACCCGGAAATCGGAACTTTCGTTTCCCGATTCCGAAAAAGACTTAAAAATTCGCGCGTCCTGCCGTGAGCTACATCAGAAAGTGCGCCCTATCGGACGATTGTCGAAAAAATTATATTTTAATTGTGGCCCTAACAATATGAGATTCGTAGGCAAGCGTGTGTTCCCGCCACTTAAAAATATTTGGCGCCACGTAGATTTCAAACGACCGCCAACACGCGAACGTTGAATACTCAGGCAACGGCAATTAAAACAGCAAAATTGTCCAATAGGGCGCGCTTTCTGATGTAGCTGACGGCAGGACGTGAATTCGGAAAAAGTTTTTTTCCAAAAAACGGAAATTCCGACTTTTACGGAAAGAAATTCCGTGAAAAAAATCGGGAAAAATCTGAAATCCCGAAATTCTAAGCAGAAACAAGCTCGACAATTTTTTCGATTTTTCATTTCTTCGAAAAAAAATTTTCCGGAATTTCGGAAAATTTTCCAGAAAATCCGGAATTTTTCGCCAGATTGGAATTAGGCTTGTCGGAATCGGGAAACGGATATTCCGGAAAAAAAGTTCCTGAAAAAAATATAAAAAAAATTATCTACCCCTAGATCAAGTAGTATTTTTCCAATTTCCAATGCCTTGAGTGGGGCAATAGCACATGAAAAAGTAGCAGTTGAGTATTCCCTATGACTTTTTTCAGAAACGCCATGCCCACGATGACCCTCTCCAAGACCTTCAGTGTCAATTGCTCAGAAGTCGGCCCCCAAACCAATTGCTTCGGATTTACCTCCTTCGACACCGCCCAAAAAGTGGTCGTAATGTCGTTCCGTGGCACCCAAGGAGCCACTCAACTCACCGAAGAAATTCTGGACTTTTTCACCGGAAAAAAGCCGTTTTTCAATGATGCCGGTCACATTTTCACCTATTTCTATGACGCCTTTTTCTTCCTCTGGAATGGCGGACTGTCTCAGGATATCAGAAATTTAAAGTACAAGTACCCGGACTATGAGTTATGGGTGACTGGACACTCCCTTGGTGGGGCTATCGCCTCCATCGCAGCTTCTTATGTTGTCCATACCGGTCTTTATACTGGAGATAATGTGAAATTAGTGACGATGGGACAACCGAGAACTGGGGATTATGACTATGCAGTATGGCATGATAAGACCTTCCCGTACTCGTTTAGAATCGTTCATCACAAGGATATTGTCCCGCATATTCCACCGCAATATGGAAAAGATGAGCTTTTCCATCACAGGACTGAAGTTTGGTGAGTGGGAAAAATGGAAAAAAAAAGAAAAAAAAGATTTGACCTCGGTGGGGTTCGAACCCACGACTGGAAATTTGGAAACAAACGCGCTAGCCGCTGAGCCGCGGGTGCAACATTGGGAGTAGAGGTAGAGGGCATAGAGAAGAATACGGGGGGGGGGGGGTTTACTCCTCGAGCGTCGGTCGGGTTAGAACCTGGGAGGAAAATTGTCAACCAGGCTAGATCGGAAAACGGGAATTCCAGTATCCCAGTTTTTCTGGAAATACATTTCGGACAAAAATCGAAATTCGCCGGCAAATATTCTAGAAAAAAATCGGAAAAGTCGGGAAAATACGGAAAACCCGGAGAGAAATTTTTCCGAAAATGCTCATCGGAAAAAAATTCGGAATTTCCGTATTCCAAAAAAATTAGGTGCTAAGGGTTTTGGCCCCCAACTGGGGGCCAAAAAATTTTGGCACTTGGGCACTGGAGGCCTAAGCCTGGTTTGATAGTGGGGTATAGAGTTTCTGGAAGTAAAGCGAGTTGGCACCTTATAAAAAAGGCTTAGTAAACACCGAAAAAAGCTTTTTCAGGAGCAAAAAGCTGATTTTCCCCCAAAAAAATCGATTTTCAGCCAATTTTTGCTTCAGCTGAAAATGAGCTCCGAATGATTTCTAGTGGCTCGCAAATAGTTTCTAGTACGTTTACAATAACTCACGAACGTGTTCCTGTAAAAAAAGATCACAAAAATAACTCCGCTGTGACAAAATTTGGGTGGCCCCCTCAACTCCCTTAGCACCAAAAATTATTCGGGAAACCTTTTTCTGAATTTTTTATCGGAAATTTTTTCTGTAAAAAACTCGGAATTTTCGAATTTCCGTTTTCCGAAAAAATAACCCGATCGGTGAAAAAAATCGAAATCGGGAAATTACCCGAAAAAGACTTTTGGAAAGAAATTCGGAATTTTCAATTTTTCCGAAATTTTTTTTCGGAAAAATCGGAATTTTCGTTTTCCATGAAAAAAAATTTCAGAAAAAAACGTTTTCCGAATTTTTTATGGAAAATTTCTCGGGAAAAATTTGGAATTTTTCGATTTTTCCAAAAATTATTTTTTTTTAATTGGGATTTCCGTTTTCCAAAATAAAGGAACCATATTACTAAGGAAAAAATTGAGTTGGAATGTGTTCCGAAAAAGAATTTTGGAAAAAAATTCGGAAAAGAATCGGAATTTCCGTTTCCCGAGAAAAATATTCTAGAATATTTTTCCGGAAAGGGAATTTCCAGAAAAAGCATTTGGCAAAAACTCGGAGTTTCCGTTTTCCGGAAAAATATCAAAATCGGAATGTTTTCCAAAAAAGGATTTCTGACAAAAATTCGGAATTTTCCAGTTTTCCTAAAAAATTATTCGGGAAAAACGCTTTTTGGATTTTTAACGGTAAATTTCTCGAAAAAAAAACTCGAAATTTTCGACATTTCCGAAGAAAATCGTTTCCGTTCCTATTCCCAAAATTATTTTCTTCCCAGGTACAACAACAACATGACAACGACCGACCCATACAAAGTCTGCGCCGAAGCGGACGGTCTCTACTGCAGTAACCGACAACTGGACTCCTATCCACCTGATCATTTGACCTATTTCGATATTAATATGCCCGATTGGGGATCCCAAGGGTGTCCGAAAAACTGAAAATAAATATTTATTTTTTCTCGATTCACATTGAATACAGTATGGGAAACACCTCAGTTTCTCATGGTTTTCTTCTCCTCGATTTCCAGTTTTTTCATCATGTTTTCATTCCGAGTGAAAATGATCCTTCGTGTCGTTCTACTTTTCCTTGCGCTTTTCGTTTTGATCGATGGAAAATGCACATGGCACTTCAGTGGAGATCTCCGGTGCCCTTTGGATTGTTTCCATTATCATGTGGAGGTTTATGAAGAGGATTGGCTGTAAGTGTAGGCGCAGGACATGAAATGTTCAGCGCCACATATCTCGGTTGTCTTAAGAGCTATCAGAAAGTTTGCAACTAGTAAAATGTTTAAAATATTTTGCTTGGCATTTCTTTAGTTGACTTTTTTTTTCTAGCTCTGCACCTCGCAGAGATATAGCTGAACAAAGACAGGGGGAGTACCGTACGTGTTGTAACTTTGGCACTCTGTATGTTCAAAGCCGCATATCTCGGTTGTATTGAGAGCTATCAAAAAGTTTTCAACCAGTAAAATGTTCAAAATGTTTTGCTTGACATTTCCTTAGTTGACTACTTTTTGATAGCTTTGAAGACAATCGAGATATGCTGCTCTGAACATACAGAGTGCCTAAATTATAGGATTTACCACAAAAATTTCCAGTCTGACAAAAGTAGGGTCTAGTCTATCCGAAACCCTAGGCGTGCGCCTTTAAGGTTAGTTAGTAAAGCGCTCCTTCCTATTCCAGCAGAAAATCCGATGATCTTCTCACCAACCAGACTATGATCGAGTCCCGACCACCTCACAAATATCAGGTGGAAGCAACGGATACCGACGATGGGCTGGATGTGTTGGTGAGCTTTAAGGATAGCTAAGCTTGAACGATTAAGATTTCCAGAAAAAGTTCGAAATCTACATGCTAATCATTCACAACTGTACTAGTAACGGGAACATGAAGAAGGTCAAATATGATTGGGGAAAGTTCAATATTGATGAGCGGTGGGTGAAATTTTACGTGGAAGCAAAGCTGTCAAAATGGCGGCCGTGGAAGACCGTAGAAGGCCGTGGTCGGCCATCAAATTATAAACGTACTGAACTTTGGACGATCTACCAGGGCCGCTAGGCCGCCGTATCTTCCGAGCAGCGGAATAACAAAATTCAAAAACCCGTTTTCGGCCGCGGACGTCATTTGACAGTCTCGATGTAGGGTAAACTGTTGAAAAAATTAAAATTAAGTTTTTCAGAAAGGTTACCAAGACTCAAGACTTCGACTTGTACAACCAGGGAGACGATGTTTAATTGGATTTACTTTCGAATAAATATATTTTTTTTGATTCCTCTTTGCACTCTCGGATATCACCAAAAAAAATATTTACACAGCATTATTTACTTTTTTTTCTGTTTTTTTCTATATTGTTTTTTTTTTCTCATTTTTCAACAGGAACATCTGTTATCCTTCCACTCCTAAAAATGCAACTTCTGGAAGTTTCCATCTGCTTCTTCTCAATTTTCCCCTTATCACTTCCATCTGGTACCTGCTCCAAGTGTATTCAACGTGGCGAAGTCTACTGTCCGATGTTCGATCGTTGTGGAATTCTGCCGTTTTGTTTGAGATGGATTGACGTGAGTTTTTGGGAATTCTCCAGTTTCAAAAAAAAATAGTTTTTGACAATATTGCGACGGGCTGAGATAGACCTTTCAAGATTCGGTCCGGTCCGATGGCCCGGAGTTTTGGCCCGAAATTCGGACTTCATCGAGCATTAAGCAAGTAGTTTTGAGTTTTTGAAGCATTTCATACGGTTTTCATCAACTTTCAGGCAAAATATGGGAAAAATCCTTTTTTTAATCCGGGCTTTAGGGCCCGGGTTCGAGATTCCATAAATATGTTTTTCAGAAAATCTTGAATTGCCCGGACACCAGAAACATCTCAGTTGAGTATGACGAAGAGTTCGCTAGAAACAAGATAATGCCATTGGCAGCTGCCGCATATTCGGATAACCCATTGCCCTGTATGAAGTTAGTTTTTACCTCGTCTAGTAAAATTTCTCAAGTAGTACAGTAACGATTTCGTTTGCGCCGACTGACGGCGGCTCTGTTATATGCTTCAGCTGGAATTTTAGATAATACAGTAATATTTCTCCTCTTGGCGAGACCTATCCAAAAAACCGTTCCTTGTGCCGTTGAAAGAAAAAAAGACCTGAAAATTCCGATTTCCAGAAAAGTCTTACCCAACATCCGACTTGTGAACACCTACTCGGTTAGCTGTTCCTATGAGACTGATTGTAAGTTTTCCTCTTTCAAAAATCTATCTCTTCCAACGCTGTCAAAATGGCGGCCTGGGGCCGTGGAAGGCTGTAGAAGGCGGTGGTCGGTCATCATATTACAAACATACTAAACTTTGGTCCCTCTACCATGGCCGCTAGACCGCCGTAACGTCCGAGAAGCGGATTAACAAAATCTAGAAACCCGATTTCGGCCGCGGCCGCCATTTCGACAATATTGCTCCCTTTTTGAGTTTACAGCCCTAATCCACATCACCACTTCCTGGGTGGCCTACCTATTGGACCGAATCAATTGGATCGACTACAATCCTCCTCCAATTTTCCATTCCGACTGTTTTGCTTACATTGGAATAGACGACGTTGAGAAAGTGATTGTGATGGGATTCCGTGGGACTGAGGGATTGTTTCAGTTGCTCGAACAAATGCTACAGTATCACAGGGGTCGGAAGCAGTTTTTCGAGAATGGAAGTATTTATGAATACTTTTATAATGCTTTTAACTTACTTTGGACTGGAGGTTTTGAGAAAGGAACGAGGGAAGTGTTGGGGAACAGCACGGAAGAGTATGAGTTATGGGTAAGTAGTTCATCAGGGTTGCTTAGGAAAATTTTTTTCGGAAAACGGAAATTCCTGATTTTTACGCAAAAAAATGTTCAGTAAAAAAATTTCAGAAAATCCAAAATTCCTAGAATCCTAGAGCCCAAAAATTTCCGGAATATTTTGTTTTCCAAAAACGAAAATCCCAATTTTTTACCGAAAAAAATTTTTCGTGAAAAAAGTCGATGGTCGGAATCGGAGAATGAAAATTATGATTTTTTGAACTTTTTTATGAAAAAAAATTTCCGGAAAAAAAAATTAAGTCTGAGAATTTTCCGATATATTTTTCCGGAAAAGTTTTCACAAAAAAAAATCTCTGTTTTCCGGGGAAAATGACTCGTAAAAACTGGGCAATTACTCAACTGCTATATTT